TAGGTTAGGGGGCGTTGGATTTTTTAATCAATCACATTGTAAAAGAATGAGCGACTAGATGCTTGTGTTCGTCTGGTTTAGCTCAAAACGCGCGCTAAAGCCGAAAATACAACGCTTTTACATTCGTTTCATTCCCACAATCAATGAATAAGCAATTCTGGTAACCTCGGATTTGCTGAGGAAAGTCATTAATTTTTGTTGACTGTCTTCTTCCCGTTTAGGTGGTCTATGCATTAAACTGGTATCAGAGTGAGTTTGATGGATACCAATACCAGCGACGGCAACGACTCTTTCGATTGGTCTCGGATCAATTTTACTAAAGCCGAAAGTTTTTCTTGGTTTGTTGTCATCGTAGCAGAATTATTGGTTACATTTATCCTTAATTTGATCACCATTATTGTATTTGCGAAGCAGCGCCAACTACAGCGCAGGAGCACATATCTGATCATCCATCTGGCCATAGTTGATCTCTTGGTCGGAGCAGTCTCTGGGCCTCTGTGTTTGACTCCTCCATTAACAAACGTTTCCTTAGAATATCTTCGAAGTATACTGGGCAGGTTGTTTCCTATAGCATCTGCAACTACACTTACTGCAATTTCTCTGGAGAGACTGCATGTTACATTTTGTCCATTTCGACATCTCACCGTCAAAAAGCGTGCTTACGTCGAAACAATCTTTGTTATTTGGGTGATATCCATCTCCTTGGAAATAATTCAAACTTTTGCGATGCAAAGAAATCTGTTTTCTATCACTGCAATCGTGTATTTCTCTTATTTTTCAAGTGTCATTATAATTATTTCAGTCTCGTATTTTTCGATATGTATAAAAGTTCGACGTAGTCGGCATCTTCAACACGAGTCTATGGCCATCAGAAACAGAGAAAAGAGACTCACAACTTCCTTAATCATTGTTACATTTGCATCTCTACTGACTTTGTCACCAGTTTTCATCTACGTAACTATACAGATCGTCTTCAGTGTACCTGAGTTAAGTCCTACCAAAGCATCAGGCATTCGGTTTTTTCTCGCAGGAGTTCTATCCTTGGGCTTAAACTCGTCAATAAATCCATTAATTTACTCCATAACGAATTCAGAGTTCCGAACAGGCCTTGCACGGATATGCTGCAGGCTTCACCGACGCCATCCAATCCATGCCATTCCTGCAGTGAGCCCGGGCAGTTTTCGTCTTCGAGAGTTTCGCCGGCCATAATTAATCTTCCCTGACAGTCATCGAAGTTTAGCAAGCGGCCATTTTGGTCGTAGAAGCAGCCGAAACGCAAGTTGATGAATTTTACTTCAGTGCAGAACTTAATTTTGTCTGCCTTATTTGGCGTGTTCTTTTCATTCTTTTCAAGTTTGTTCTTCGTCGTGGTTGAAATTATTTTATCAAACGTGACAAGAAAAAGTGTTCTCTCACAACTGATTGAGATCAGTCAGAGGCTTGGTTCATCAAGCATCGCCTCTTCTTCTCAATCAAAGAGTCGATTTTAGCATCCGAAATCGTTAATTTTGGAATCATCCTTTTTTTACGGCGGAAAGGGGATGGGCAATGGTAATATGAGTAACATCAAAAGAGCATCGATATCACGTAAAGTTATTTGTATCACAAATTGGCAAAGATGGCAGTGAAGAGGTGCAAGTAACACTTGACCATCGCCCATTTTCCCAAGGACTGAATTGAGAATTCTTGGCTGCTTGTTAAAAAAGAGTATAAGATTGGTTTGATCAAAAGAAAAAAATAAAACATTAGGCAAACAGATGGTATATACTAAATAAAACGATGTTGGTTATAATATTAACTTATTACAAGAGAGGACTTTATCCTCTCTTGCTAATCATTAATAGGAACGCTTTTTTCTAGATAAATTGCTGTCAATGAGGTAATTAGTGCTTAATTAAAACTCCTGTTGAATGTGTATCAACTTCTCTTTTTCCTAAGACACCAAAAGTCATGATCATCTTAGAGTCTAGTTGTCAGCGATTAGTTAGTAACGGTCGAGGAAAGAATCAAGTCACCTTTGTTGCGTCATAATGAGGGGGAAACTATAGTTGCAGAGCGCAGCACGCATAGCGAAAGGCACTAAGGACTCTTCACCTTTCCTTTTCAGTCTTCTTCAATCTCTATTCTTTAATACAATCGTGTTTAAATTAAATTCACTTCACTCTTCTCTTAAACCACTTAAAACCACTTTCATGCTTTGACTCTGAGAGACTGATCGACTCTGATTCCTATATTTACTCTTGACGACTTCATGACTCTACCTCTGATCTTTACTTTCTCTTTGATTTTCACTGATTACTAACTCTAAATACGCATTTTATTTTCCCTATCGGTAGGCATAAGTAGTCATGCTGACCAACTGAAATTTGAAAATTAAATCGTCGTCAGCACTCCGAACCCAAACGTTTTTTACAAAAATCTCACAAATGAGCAACAACGTACCGAATTCTTTCGATAAAACAATTAATCTTTTATTGGTAAAGCCAAAACAAGATCTCGAGTGCGGGTCCAAAGCAAACTCAGGAAACAAACTGAGGGAAGTTAGCCAAGGCAGTCACAATTTCGAAACTCGTCGCTGTCTAAATTCATAGATTTGCTTTGGATTATCAAACAAACAACTGACAACGCTGGGTGACATAATACAGAAGGATTAGTTTTATGACGTCATTCTGGCATATCCTCCCTTCCAAAAATAAAACTTCCTCTATCCGTGCACGTCAAATGTAATTATCTATTGTCGGTCCTTAGCTTTGCGCACGTCTGAACTAAAACTATTGAAAGGTTATGAGGTTAATCTGACTGCATTATGACGATGAAAGGGATATCTAATAAAATCAATGCCTATCTCATCACCACTTTTATTATCATTGTTGCTATTAGAACTGTTCATTATGCATTTTCTTATCACTTTTTGTGCAGATTTAAGATCCAGTACTCGCGCGTCCGTCTGAACGTTCATTTTTGACTCCTGTAGTTCTCTCAGTTCCAATTTTTTTTTGACTCAGATAGCCTCACCCGTTCAATTGATCTCACTTAATCCTTTACATCATACATACTATTATAGTATATTATTGCATTTGTTTTTTCCATACAGTTTTCTCTATACACGCCCTATGAGACAAACAAGAAGAATTTTTTTGAACACTCATTTCATTTCATTTCCTTTCTAATGGTCGACTCAAAAGGTGCGCTGTGAAGAGAAATTGGATGCTAGTAACTTTTAGGGGGGGAAGGAGTAAACACTGCATGTAGCACAAAATTTGTTACAGGAAAAATACCAACCAAAATTTGAGAGATATATGGAAACTAATACATGATTACCACAAAATTCTTTTTACACTGTTGGATCGAAACTATGTTTTTGTTAATTGAAACGAAGCTAAGAATATTTTCATGGACCCCGTGCTCTGTTTTATCGGGTGTTTATTACAAACAGATGTGCGCAAACAGATATGTTTGACAAAGCCTGGAACTGGATTTCATTCGAACTAATGATAGATTATCGCCTATCACTTTGGTTTAACCATTATTGAAAGATGTGTTACTAACTGAGCCACCATAAGATTACTAAAATCTGTTGAAGATTTCGGAATTCGGGCTTCGCAATATGGCAACAGCTAGTACAGTATAGCTGGGTCATTATAACCCTTCAATTGATAAAAATGATGATGATAAACTTGAGGCAGTTTTGTCTCAACTTACTTTCATGATTTCGACTGCAAGTTCTAAACTGCGAATTTATCCTGAAATTACCTAGATTCCTTGTCGACAGTTATTTCCTTTACCCTTGAACGCCGTGAAATATGGGAAAGTCGAGTTACTTTCACACCCCTAGAGAACTTTCATTACAATAAAGATAACAGATTCTAGAAGGGTAAACAAGTAACGGTGAAGTTTGGCTGGCTAAAAACTATAACTCGTTACAGTCTTGTACCGCCTAAAACAAAGGTTCGAAACATTTCAAAAACTTCAAAGCATTTCCTGATTCTTATGCCATACCCACTGACCTAAGTATGCCGTTAGTTTAACGAGTTTCCGCTTCGGAAATGTTACGAAATATAGAGGACTCGTCTCGTGAGCTGCCATTGTGTTTCTTAGAGCTTCTGATTATTCAAATAACATGAAATCTTCTTTAACGGCTCATGTTATCTGTTGTAACACGAAAAACTGTCAAAAATCGATTAGCCGAACAAATTGCAGCGTAAATATTTCATCTAGGAGTATCAACATCTGACTGCTTTCGAATGATCTATAATCTGCAATAACTGATTTAGATTTTTTCCGTTTGCGTTTCCTAAAGTGAAGGAAAAAGGCGAAACTGAGAACCTACGCGGAATTACGGTAATGGGTACTAATACGTCCGTCGCATGCATTTTTGTGTGGAAGTTCGATCCGGAACCAGTCGCGCACTTTTACGGTAAATATAAATAAATTCCGTTACCGTGTTGAATACCTACCAGCATACGTACAAATAGAATTATTCCACTAAATATAGTCGAATACTCCCATTCAAATCAAATGATTTGGATTCCTTTCATTGACGATCAATTTGCTTCTATGACACAACACAGTGGCTCTGATGTCAGATAAATATTTAAACATATACTCCTTTTGCAAAAATTTTTGATATTGCAGTTTGCAATACAATACCCACTTAACGGCAGATATTTGTAGGAAATGTGATTTTCACGGATTTCATGTCAAACGAAACGTGAAAAAATCTCAAAAATTAGAACTCTCCATCAATGCCAGAGTTCCTACAATGTGTAAAATTTTATAAAACAAAATTTGATTTGTTCTTTTTTTCATTCTTTTATTTTTTCAGACAAGCTGCGTTTATCTTGGAAGCTCGCTATAAATTTTCCCTGTCAGGTATCTCACACCGTTTGTCAATACAGTGGACGGTAATTAACGTCTGTAGTGCGACCACAGAGAAACTGAAAGAAGGAAGACGATTCCCTGACATTTACCAAATTTGGAGTGATTCGGAGAGGTCATTTGGTATGATTCTAGAACGTTTCTGATTGGCCGTTCGATTGTTTATTTGTTCTCACAAAAGTACTTGTAATAAGCTAGCGTTCATTTGCGTACTAATTCTGACTGAGGGCGTTTGTTCGTGTCCTCTGGCCTTGTGATATTATTCTCTGTGGAATTTTCCTGTCTTGTGCTTCTGTTTCAACTGAAGACGAAGAAGTATTAGTTTAGTTATGGCCGACGACCTCAGTAGCGACGAACGAGACGATATGGAGTTGACAGAGGACGAAACCGGCCCGCCATTGAAATCCAAAGTTTTGAACGGAGATCATGAAATAGGAGAAACCAAGGTCAGTTCCACAGCTAGAAACACTTCTGTTAGCTCGAGTAGCGGTAAGAGTGGCAGGCACGTGGAAGAAAATGGCGAAATTGAAGGATCAGAGGAAGAAGTCGAGGAAGAAACAGGGGAATCGGAAGAGGATAGCTCGAGCGAAGAAGAGTCATCTTCGGAAGAATCGTACAGCGACGATTCGGAGGAATCTGAGAGGTAACATGGGAACTTTTGCTGAGATTTTCGAATTTAAATTCGCATATTTCTTACTTTCGTGTACATTTTGTGGAGCAGACTTTTCACCCCAATGTAGGCGGCCATAATTTTAAGTTGCTTTTCTTCTGGTTGAATTAACCGATAAGGCCACGGTTTAACATTTAGCAATGCAGCCGGTATGCAATTTTCAGGTTTATCACCGCTGTGATCTCTTAGATCAGTGGTTAAATTGTCGGTATTTCTGTGTAGTGGTAGCAAGTGTCATTTCATAGCTTCTAAATCGGCTTATAACGAGCTTTCCCTTCACAAAAGCATTTTCTATCTTTGTTTTCTGACTTATTAGCGAGCCTCCCTTAGCACATCATGCTGAGATGTTGTTCTCGACCGTACGTTTCATGTTGGACATCAAAGCAAAGGAAATATTTTGATTGCAGCTTTTGTTGTTGAAAACTTTTCCTCCGGGCAGATAAACCAGGACTTACGTAACTGTTATAATTTATTTCGTTTTGTAAATAGCGAACTTTCCGTCCTTTTATTCACAAATATTCAAATGGAATTCACGTCACATGAGGTTGCTGCTATTTCTTGTCGCTCGTCGATTCAAAGATTGCTCTGTTTCACCGACTGATAGTCAATTTTTTATTGTGATTTTAACACGCTTTCCAATTCAGAATACTTGTGAAAAGACGAAGGATCGAAAGATTATGAATCATTAAACAAATTCATTAAAGAATCAAATCCTCACGTCAAAGCTGTTAACTCGACAGCCAAGGTTTGAACTCACGAAGTAGGTGTTAATCGAAAACTGTGTTAGAAATGAAATGTCAAGGCTTCTAATTGGCTATTAAAAGCTGACTTCTTTTGTTTTTATTGTTTAAACAAACTTGTCTTTTAAGATTCTCGTCATTGCCGGAGTTTCACAGTGTCCTTTGTGAATTTTTAATTTATTGGAAGTGAAAATTTTGATATCTGAAATGAATCCGTTGCAATCGAATGAGAATTGACATTCAAGAGCCTTTTAATAGTTTTTATGTCATAAATATGCGTCTCAGAATTCAAGTAACACACAGATGGCTGTCATCTGAGCCTCTTTTTGGAGGAAATTGTAAAACAGCTGCCTCTGAGAAGTAGATTTAAGGGTATGATAGCAAATATTCCAACATCACTTGAATACCAAGTTTTACTAGAGAGCATATAGAAATATTCACATTACCCAATTAATGTATTTTTTGCTACCAAGTATGACTTTGTGTAACTACTGGTAAACTGTATTCACACTAGAAACTTTTTCTGGCTATAGTAATGATTTTTGTGGTTTTACATGCAGCATATTGATTGCACCAGACATGACATTCTCCACTTTGAGTTGGTCTTCATCACACAGATTGTAAGGGTTAACTTCCCACCCCCCTCCCCTGAAATGTGTGTACCATGCTCACTTAACCCTTTAACTTCCAGAAGTAATTAACATTAAACTTCTCCCTACAATATCAATACATTCTTCAGCAAACAGGTAATGAGAATATTCAAACTTGTCAGGTAGAAGCTGCTATGTTGATCTAGCACCAAGTTCTTATAACTAATCTACAAGGAATGTGTAGCAGCTACAGAGGAGAATTAACAATCAGATCTTGGGAGTTAAAGGATTAAACTGTGATCAATAAACTCCTTTTAAGGCAAATAAACTCTAACATCTGTCTGTTGACATAAAATGTTGTGAGAAACATTTAGTTCACGAACAGAGAAGCTTAAGGGAAACTAATGTAGGAACCTTGAAAGTAATGTCTCCAGACAGGTTTCCTCAAGGATATTTTTTTGTTCCCAGTATAGGCTACTGTGCTTATCACTGGATATTCCCTAGTTTTAGCTGGGTCGTGTTTATACTCATGGTATATTTACACCATTTGACAGGCTTGTAATATTTTGTAGGAGCTCTCAGTAGTGATATCTTTTTCATGTGTGTACCTCTTTATCCTCTTTATTTATTTAAGGCTCCAGCAAGCAGGAAAGATAGCTGAAGGTGAGCGCCCTCAGCATGGTTATGCTGCATCTAGTAAATCACTATTTGAGAGGAAAGCTCAAGAGGCAAGTGAAACAGGAACAGCTAGAATCAGACCCATAGAGCAAGAGAGAGACCTATTTGTGCCTACTAGTTCTCGACGCAGCACATTTGAGAAAGCAGCTGCAGATGAAGTAAAAAAGGTGACACCAAAAATCAAAGTGGAAGACGAGGAGGTTGACTTGTCAGGAAGAGCAAAATCTCATAAACAGCTCTTTGAGGAACAGGCCAGGCTAAGCGCCCAGGTGTCTCCATCTCTTCCGAGGAAAATATTTGGTGAGCAAGAAGGAGAAGTGGATATTTCTGGGAAGGCAAGATCAAAGAAAGAGTTGTTTGAAAAATATGCATCAGAGAATAAAGCAACATCACCCGGTGCAGAGAGAAGAATCCTTGGAGATGTAGACCTTTCAGGGCGAGCAAAAGCTCATCGCAATATTTTCCAACAAAAGATAGAGGAAGAGTCCCAGGTCAAAGCATCTCGCAAGTTTCATTTAGAGGAAGATGTCTTTTCTGGCAAGGCATCATCGCGACGTGCAATGTTTGAAAAATTTGGGTCATCAAATGATGGAAGTCAAAGGGGTTCTAAACGGGTGGAAGAAGAGGAGATTGACTTGAGTGGAAGAGCAAAGTCCCATCGCCAAAAGTTTGAGCAATTTGCTGAGGAAGCCTCCAAAGTCCAAACAGCCAGGTCCAAAAGTGATGAATTGGATCTTGTGGGAAAGGCATCCTCACACAAAGAATATTTTGATGAAAAGGTCGTAGAGGCTGGCATGATCAAAACATCAGAAAAGAAGTTGAGAGATGAGGAGGAGGAAGCTATTGCTGGTAGAGCTCGATCACACAAGATGACTTTTGAAGAGAAGGCTGCTAAAGATTTGGAAGTTCAAACTAGTGATAAATCAAGACTGCAAGAAATACCTGATAGAAGCACAAGGAAAAAAAGCAAGAAAGAGAAACATGGAGATGAACATGAGAAGAAGAAGAAGAGGCGCAGATCTTCATCAAAGTCCAAAGAACACAAAGAAAATGTGGCACATGAAGAAGCAACTCCAGAAGACAAGATTGAGAATGTGTTTGAAGAAGAAAAAGCTCAAGATGAAGAAGCAGAGGAGAGAGAAGGAGAGGCAAGGGAAGTCCTTGAGGATGACAACAGTCATAAAATGAATGGTGAGGAACATGAATCAGATGAAGAGGAACAAATAGAAGTAAATGAGACGATTGAAAATGATTTTGGAGGTGAAATTACAGTCGCATCTTCAGATGTGTATGAGTCCAGTCCAGTTGATCTCCATGTTGAAGAAGACACCAATGATGGCAAGGAAGATGAAGAACATGAACCTAAACAGGTTGAAGATGAGCCTAAACCAGCCACATCTGTTACTATGCGTGATGATAGAGATGTCCCAATGGATTATCGTGCAAGGAGAGCTTTGAGAGAAAAGAAGAAAGCCATGGAGGAAGGTGGGTGTACCAAGAGTTTCACGTGGTGCATGTATATTTTAAGTTATGATTTGAGTTGCTGATTTTTGTGGGATGTGAATGTAAGTTCAGGCAACTTTGTGAATATTTTTCGCTTGACTCTGTAGATGAACATTTTGGTAGATGTATGTTCAGGGCATATTGGTCAGGTTGCATGAAGTGTGACCAAACCAGCCTCATCCAGAATTTGCTCTCTGTTCATTGTAGGGTTGAAAAAATTCACAATATTTGTATCGTGAAGCAGCTGATTTAGCTAATTCCATTTGTTCATGATGATTTGTTTACAAATACATGTGTTTAATTTAAAATATCACAGGCAAGAATTTGAAAATCTAAAATGTAGATGGCCTGAACTTAGTTTTTAATTCACATGTGAATAACTTTTTCTTGTTACTTCACATTATTTTTCTTCCAGTACACCAATGAAAACCCAGTATTATGGCGAGTGGACTGCTATTTTTTTTTTTACCATGGTTGTCTGTTTGGTAGCTCTCTAAAACATTGTCATCTTTTGTTTGTTGCTAGAAGCGAAAGGTAAGGATTCACAAGATGGTAAGGAAAAGGAAGTTGAGAAAAGTGAAGTTAAACCTTCAGAGGAAGAAAAATCTAAATCAGAAGAAGATAGAGTGAAAGATCTGGCTACAAGAAAGGCTGAGAGAAGAGAAAGAAGAAGGCAGAGTGCACATGGTACCTCTGAGGATGATGCAGAAGCTCCATCAGATGCCTCTTCTGTGAGGAGAACATCTTTAGCAGCTAGAAGGGCTGAACGAAGATTGAAAAGTGCTGGCAAGTCTGAGGAGACTGGTAATGTTGAGAAATCCACTAGTGTGGACAAAGTAGAAGAAGTGCAATCTACAATTGATGAGAAAAGAGCAGCGCGAAGAGCAGCGACTAGGGCTGCTGAGAAGGCAACAGAAAAGAAAGAGGAAGCCAAACCTGATAAGGAAGAAGAGAAAGAAGATGCATTGGCACGTAAGAGACAGGAGAGGAGAGAGAGAGCTGAGAGAAGGAGAAGCAGCAGTAAAAGTGAAGCAATACCTGTCAAAGCCTTAACTAAGAGAGGATCTACCTCAGAAGAAGACCAAACAAGTAATACTTCTGAGCAGAAGTCAACATACACAGCATCTGTGAAATCAAGATTTGAGAAGAAAGGAGGTGAAGAACAAACTTTGAGTACATCTCGAGTGAGAGATTCAAAGCCTTCAGAGGCTAAAACCGAGACTGTGTCAGCACGGAAACAATCAGGAGATAATCAGGTAAATCAACAGGTACAAGTATGATTAAAAAATATTTTTTTCGTACTTGTGCAATCATTATATACTTATATCTAAGGTAGTTTTGGATAGGTACAATTTACATGGAGTATTTAACTTTGGCATTTTTTGTATTGTCAGTACATGCAGTACATGTGTGTTAAATGAGGTCCAACTGTACTTCTGAACAATGATACTATCACCTTAACAAATCTGCAGCCATCAGGGAGGGAAAATTTGTTCAATATTTTGCAATTCATTCCACAAGCTGTAAATAAGCTATAGATGTGTATGTACATAAAGTAATGCTTTAAGTTTTGCTTACCTAAATAGAGAAAGTTTGGCTCAGTAGTGAAATCTCAGTCTTACAGTACATGTATATCTGACTTTTGTGTAGATGTGGACCAAGTGTTCTTTTGAATCATGTCTTTGTTTGAATATTTGAAAATCTGGTTCTCGCAGAGCTGTTGTTTCTTTCCCTTACTCCTTCTTCTTTTGTGATGTTTTCCACTGGTAATTCTGATTGTACTCACTATAGAATGTGATTGGCAGAATGCACTTTGAATTGAAGGGACCTGTTATGCCCTGTACATGTGCGTTCAGTGCCAAAATTGCCCTGTTAATTTAAGGCTGTTGTTAAGTTCTCTCCTTCTAGATAAAAATAATAAAAACAACCTATATGTGAATTGTCTTGTGAGAACTTCTCAGATATTCTTTAAAGATTTCTTTTTAAATCTTTTATGACTTTCTACATTTCAGGAAAAGAGAGCACAAAGAAAAGAGAAGAATGATGAGATTGACAGTGTCAAATTGAAAACAAGTGTCCAGGGAGAGAATAGTGGTTACAAGCCAAGAGGTGCAAGAGAAACTCTGAACAAGTTTGAGGGAAAGGAGAATACCAAAGATACAACTACTAAACCTGTTACTGTGAGTAGAACAACTTTTTAAAAAAACTTTTGATTTTTTTTTTTTTTCAGCAGTTACACACTTAAATGATATGTGATACAGTACCTGTTAACCTTGTACACCCTAACATCATTATGCATATTCTCCACACTGTTCTCTATACATTTCCTAGGTTCTAACAGGGAGAATTTGTGAAACCATCAAAGAGCTTTATTAGTTGCTGATCATTTCCTGTATTCTCATGACTTAAACCTTTTATTCAGGGGTGATAGTGTGAGGAGAAATTAGAACCTCGTCACTCTTAGGGATTAAAGAGTTAAATTTGAAATTTCTTTTTACAGTAACTTGTGAAATATATGTGCAGTCTACATTTCACATTTCCAACTATCAAGTTACAGACTTGTCACTCTGAAACTTCTTTCAAAACATATTTCTTGAGTTGTAAGCTGTGATTTACTGGTTGTTTCTGCTTATTCTTAATTATCATTGGCATTCTACTCTTTCAAATGAAATTACTGGGTCAGGGGATGTTTTTCTTCTCATGCCCTTGCTTGAGTGGACATGTTCACCTTGCACCTCTGTGCATCTCCAATCTGCACTACATGAATGTTGTGTTGGTGTTAACAGTCGTATTTATAAACATGCTTATGTGTTATGCTGGCCTATGCTCATAATAGGACTACAAATTAAATTAATTTGCTCATGTGCTAACCCATGAATGTGTGATCCATTAATGTGCTAATGTCCTCAAGTATGAGGTTAATCAAGATGGTTCCAATAATGATTGTTTTGAGGTAAGTGAATTAAAAGTGGTGTTCTTTTAAAACTTGCTGGCCATTAATGTACTGCTGTACTGCCCTGTTGCCACAACTTCATGAAATTTTGAATTTGAAAATACTTACTTGTATGCTATGGTTTGAAATTTAAAGTCATCTAGTGGTCATCAAAAATTGCCAAAATTTATCACTGACAACCACCTCACAGAACATGGTTGCCCACTGATTAAACAGTAGTTCCAGCTGTCAACCTCTTGAAGTTTTGAATAATTTGAAATGCCCCAAACTATGGGAAAAAATTCTGAACAAGAATCTGTGCCGTCTATTTTCTTTTCATTCATATTTACAGCATCTGGTTGTTGTTTTCTTTTTTGCACTGAGAAGTAACACCAAATCCAGTAAGAATCTCTGAGTCTGCTCTGCTGCTGTAGCATTTATTAACTTCAGTTAACTGTGTTGTTAAATTTAACCAGCTAATCTTTATCAAACTTTAAGCTTTTTAACCAACTAACAGCCAGTTAATATCCTAAAGGAAACTGTGAATTTTGGGGAATCTGATGATGATAGTGAAAAGGTAGGGGTTTAGTTCAAGAGTTTGTA